TACCAACCAATGTATCAGCCTTATGTATAAAGCCAACCACATCTCCGTTTTAGCTGAGCTTTATAATCCTGAACTCCTGACAAAGAAATCAACCTTGATAAATCTTATTTACTGCAATCTATTACAGAAATACCTAGTGACCCAGCCAACATTATATTGCCATTGTAGTAGGCACTATGCAGACATCATCCATTATTAAAGGAAAACCAATGTATCAGCCTTATGTATAAAGCCAACCACATCTCCGTTTTAGCTGAGCTTTATAATCCTGAACTCCTGACAAAGAAATCAACCTTGATAAATCTTATTTACTGCAATCTATTACAGAAATACCTAGTGACCCAGCCAACATTATATTGCCATTGTAGTAGGCACTATGCAGACATCATCCATTATTAAAGGAAAGACTTAGCCTGAAATAAAGAAGTGATCCTGTAGCACCTTAGAGATTAACAAATTGTGTGTATTGAACTTTGGTGGGCACAACCTGCTTCTTCAGATGAAATGTGTAGGTTAGTCTCTCTCCTGGAAGATGGAAAGGTTTTGGGAAAAGAAACACAAAGAAAAGTTTCAAAGTGACTTTTAAAATCAGATTTCCCTTCTGAATTTTAAAATCTCACATTTTACCAGACTAAGCCAGATCAATCAACAACTAGTCACAGTCCAGATGTGATGAAGGATAGGTTTCTCTTTATGCAAGAGAAGACAGCCCCTTCCCCATTTTATGTATTACAATCACAGAGTCAGAGACCCATTACAGCAGGCACCTGGCCCCAGTGTTTACCTGGCGGTGTTAAGCAGCGGGTGTTTGGTCCCAATCAACTTGCGGACCTGCATGGCGATGTTGCTCAGCTCGTCGCTCAGCAGACAGCGGAGGCTCATGAACGAGGTTGGATACCCCACGATCTTCTCAGCCTCGGACACCACTTTACTCCAGTGAGAGGCCGCGGAAGGGGAACTTGCGAGCAGGCCCCTCCGGCCCCGCACACCGCCTCCCGCAGCGGGCCAGAGCCTGAGGGGCGGCAGCAGCAGCCGGGGGCAGCAGCTCCCCCAACGCCGCAGCAGTAGGGGGCACATTATCCCAGCCCCTTAACAGGATCCCGCAATGCGCTTCGCCCGCAGCGCTCAGGTGCCCCGGC